GGACACGCTTGGTTTCGCTGTGTTGAGCAGTTCTGTTTCTAGGCGGGGTGCCTAGAAACGCGCCCTGTGTTCGAGAGCAAAGTATCAACAAATCACTCAATAGGCCCTGGTTTCCCTCAGTATGGATGAACAGCCAGGAGCCCAGCAGGGAAAGGTGGTGATGCAGCTGTGTCTTCACACAGACAGAAACTACAGAAGAACCTGTAGTTTTTCTGGTGTGATGATAATAAAAGTGAAAGCAAAAAAATCACGCTTTGTTTTGTTCTCAGTGATACAAGACTGACTTTTTCAGAGTCAGAAGCAGATTGATACCTTAAAACTTCAACAGGATGCAGTTTTAACTGGCTTTTTGTACACTGCAACATGGTATCTGTTCAGGTGAAATAAAGTAGCATTTCAGAGTTTCATGCTTGAGTGGTTTCCTAATATCTCTCTTGCTATTTTTTTTTGTTTCAGGGTAACCAAGCAAAGAAGTTATGAATATCATCTGTGGTCTAAAGTTGATGGGCAGGAACTGTGTTTCCTTTCCTTTGGCTTCTTTGACCAAGGAGGCGAAGTGCAGTAACTTTCTTAAGTCTTACGCAGGATCTTGCCGGACTCAAGTCAGTCGTAGTCGAGACAGAGGCCAAAGGCTGGATTTGAGTGGAAATACTAGAAACTGGTTTTTGGCTGGAAGCCCTGACTCTGACAGAAACTTCATCAGTAAAGGACTGAGGTGTCTTTTGAATGTCCCAAATACAGCAGTACACAAGAATGCACACCACAGTTCAGGAAGGTTTTGCTTCCAGGCTTCTCATCCGCTGGGGAAGACAATCACATCCCTCCAGATCAGTTTGGTAGGGCAACTCCCACATCATTTTCCAGCTTGGAACATTCAGATCATCAGGTCTTTTCACACATCACCATCATTTCGGGCTGCACCAGCTCCTCTTTTCTGGATTATTGTTAAGCCAGCTCAGAAATTATTTGCTGTCCTTCTTGGCAGGTAAAATACTATGTCACATCCTCTCAGTACAAGACCCCATTATGCAAAGATACGTGCATGAGTTTGTGGAGAATGGTAGGTGTATTTGTAGTGTTTTCATTTCAATATCTGCAAATTTTTATAGGACTGGGGCCTAGGCTGACAATTTGCTCAACAAGAAGTCGTTTTCATTATCAGAGATGTTAGATGTATCTTTTGCTCTTTCCATTCTCATTTACGTGTGGTAGAGGGAGGTGAACCAAGACACTAAGGGGCATTCCTTCTTCCCCTGCGGGAGGGAAGAAATGGAGTTGAGTAGAAGCCAATTACGGTATAATATTCCCTAAACTCTGATGTGAGGTGAGACTGTAATAGGGAATACAGCAAGGGCAGACACTAACAAATTCTTAAACTGTGTCCTAAGTTAACAGTGTTTATCTCTTACAGGAGCATAAGAAATTGGTGGAAGGCACTTCCTCCTAATAAACGGGAACTTTTTAAAGAACATGCAAGACAAAATAAATGGAAGATACTGCTGGGTGTCAGTAGCTTAGGAGTTTTATTTGTTGTGTTTTATTTTACTCACTTGGAGGAGACACCCATCACTGGGCGCATGCGACTGTTGGTGTTTGGAAAAGAGCATTTTAGGGAGCTGTCTGAGATGGAATATAAGATGGTAAGACTTTAAAGAAACATTCAGAATACTCTAGAACTGTTAATGCTTTAATTATAGTGCTGAAATAGTCCAGTTAATGAGATGGGTAAACAAACCTTGTAGTGTGTTTGATACACTACATACTCAGAATCCTGCAAAGCATCCGTATCGGCTATTCCCTCCCCTTTTCCCGTCCTTTTTAAGCATTCCCTTTCCATCAGCAAACTGCTCAAGGGCATGTTAAAGAGCACATTACATGTGTGTAGCAAACACTTCTAACTGTGTTATTGTAATCTAACAAGAAGTACAGAAATCTGGTAGAAGCAGTAAAAGCACAGCTAATGGGTATATGCTGAGATCTGTCTCATGCTCTGTGCTGATTTGAGCATTCTTTGACACTTGCTTAAGGTGCTTTTCTGTGCTGTCACTTTGTAAGGTAATACTCTCTACCTACATTCAGTTTTTCATTGGATCAGCTCATTTTTCTTTAATTGCTTTCCTTTAAGCTGTCCATTGCATTAAATTCTGTAACTTTGAGTTCTTTGACATTCTGTTCTAAGGCCAGTGAAGCTTGATAATCCATATACAAGTGTCACTGTATTCTTGTCTGACAGAGAACATAAGAATTGAACAAGTACAAAGGTATATTCAAATTACATCTTTTCTATAAATTTGACCACCTTGCAAATTACAACAGAAATACACAGATACAGAAAAAACCCAAATTCAGCTGGAAATTCAGGAAGGTATAGAAAAGTTTGCCAAACTGTGTTACCAAGCTCAACTATGGATTAGGAAAATGGTGGATACAAGAGGCCATAGGTCCAAGTTTATACAGTCTTATTTTTGATCTGTGATCAGTTTACTCCCTTTGAAGTTTATTAATACTTGTGGTTCTGAAAGCCTCAATTCTTACATTGGCTTTGGCTACATGAAAGAAAAATGTATTAAAATTTAGCATTAAGTAAGTTGTGTGTAGTCACTGAATTAGTTTACCATTTAGTCATTTACTGTGTGTTTGTCCTGCATGGCAATCAAGAATTTTTCTTTCTTTTTAAGTGGATGGAGGAATTCAAAAGTAAAATGTTACCTGAGATGGATCCACGCTACCAGGTTGTGAAGAGAGTTGTTGGTCATTTATCTGAAAGCAACAAGGACATCCCACAGGTCTCTGCACTCGAGTGGGTTATCCATGTGGTGGAGGAACCAGGTGTTAATGCTTTTGTACTTCCAGTAAGTTGAACCCAATACAAAAATTACTAGTCGTATTGAAAGAGCTTTTATTTATGTGTCTTCTTACTTCTTACTCTTTTGCTTTACAGAATGGTCAAGTGTTTGTTTTCACTGGATTGCTAAATGCAGTTTCTGATATTCATCAGCTGTCCTTCATTCTGGGACATGAAATAGCTCACGCTGTGCTGGAACACGCAGTAAGTATTTAAAGAAAGCTGTCAGTATTCTTCACTTCATTCTAATTACTTAAATTCAGATTTTTCCTATCACTACGAACCAAAGTTTCAGTGTGACTCTTTTAAATTGATAAAAAATGGAGTTTGATATGAGAATATTCTGCCACAGTATATGTTTGTTACTCGTGTAGTACATAATAACTGTCGGAAGTGCTGTAGCAGTTAATCAGTGTTAGCACGAAGTCTGCCAGTGCCTCTTTCGTAGCTGTACAGATGGATTATGGCTCAATATTACAGTCCTTTAGGACTTGGTCTGCAGATGCCTCTCCTCCTGTAGCACAGACGTAAGGATCTAGAGGTACTCAGCAGCTTAGTTTGTTACTCCCACACTTGTTAGTGCTTACAGAAGTGGATATGTTCAATAAATTATTCTAACATACATGATATTTTTGTTATAGTAGTACCCACTTTTAGAATGCCAAATTCTAGAATGCCTGGAGCTAGAGTCTGCTTTTATAGATGATGGCTTTCACAGAGTTACTTTTTCCATATCCTGACCTGGATGTGTTGAATTTGGTAGTTCTTTGCTATACAAATTACAATGGATGTAGTAATTTTGTTGTGCTGTGTAGGTACAACTATGAAAAAAAGAGGATGGTGCAGAAATACAGCTGATACTGTTCTAGATTGAGGGGATTTGCTAAAAGATGCTTCTTTTTCTCCAGATGGATTTCTTCCTGTGCATGTCATTTCTTCCTGTGTATGCATTTAATACATTACCTATCTGTCAGTTTGAGAAGACGTAATCTTTGAACATAAAGATCTTGCTAAAATTGCAAAACTAATCTGGAAATGGGTAAATTGAAATAAAAACATTAATTTTAAAGGCAGTGGAAATACAGGAGACTTGAGTTACTGCATCCTGTATGATTCTGGATGAGCAACAGTTCACATCATGGTTTCTTGGGCTCAGCTGAGCCAAGTAACTTGCTTAGCTTCTAAAAAATAAAAGAAATAGTTCTAATATTTAAAAGAACTTAACCTGTTTTGCGTGGAACCGGTGTTACCCAACAGGCATAGGGAAAAGTATTGCATGATCCAGCTTGCGAATGCTCAGCTCAATTTGTTGTATTTCAAATAGAGCTCTGAAATGCAGAATTGCAATTTCTTTCTTTGGGATCACTCAGTTTCTGAAATTAAAGGAATGTAGCAGAAAATAAAAAGTAAATATATAGTGCCTTGTGTCCCCTTATCCCATTAGTTTTCCTGTCGAAGTGATGCCTTAAATTAATGTAAAAACCAGTTGTCTAGGTCTTTCTATAGATTTTTCATTCCAGCTGAGGTGTTTTATGGCCTTTGTACTAAAGAACTCTGTCTGCATGCTGCCATCATCTTATCTCTAGCTTTGAATCTCTCAAACTGTGTTTGTTCCAGCTGTATTTATGAAGGTGGTGGAGATTCTTGACTAAAAGTCCCTTGTATCCAACTGGATTTTTTTCTTCTTGTGCAAGCAGGGGACCTTCTGCTTGCCCCGTTCCTGCATAAACACACCCCCCCCCCCCCCCCCTTTTTTAAAGTGTTTCCAAATCCTGTTATGTTCTACAGACATGTCAGACAGGAATGAAAATGGGACAATTTCTGTTTGCAGGCAGAGAAAGCCAGCCTGGTTCACTTGTTGGATTTTCTATCACTCATCTTTCTCACTATGATTTGGGCCATCTGTCCTCGAGATAGTTTGGCAGTTGTTGGCCAGTGGCTTCAGAGCAAGTTGCAGGAGGTAAGACTGACACTTTACTATATCATTTTGGAGTTTCATGGAAAAGCATTTTTAATCTTGGGGAGATAGTCTCACTAAATAATATATTTGGGGGAAAAGACAAGACGAGGAATATTAGCAAAAATTAATATTTGAGTATGTTTTTAAATGAAATATGTGTTTCTAAATCTGAATCTGCTTTAGTTGATACATATTTTCATTTGTCATCCTGAGGAACCTCAGATCTCCCTAAATGACTGGGTTGAGCTGGACAGGCTCTGAGTACCAGCTTGCTCATTGTCTTTTTGACATGTAGTTCCCTCTTTAAAGCTGTGCATATTGAAATACTATGGTTTTATTTTGAGTAGTTGTTAAATTGTTTCTAAACAAAATATATGGAATTCCTTGAATACATTGTTAGTGGTAAGAATGGATTTCAAGATAAGAAAATTGAGAATCTAAACACTCCTTTAAAGTATAAACCATCCTATAATAAAACTTACTGAAATAATCTTTTCAGACAGCACATATTCCAATAAAGTAAAATTTAGAGGCTTTGTGGAGCCAGTTTTCTTCAGTCTAATTTACTCTCTGCCTCCAGACATTTCCTGATCCATTTCTTTTTTAAAAAGTGGGTTTTCTTTTTGTTTAAAAGAAATTCTGCTTACATCATAAACCAAATCTGAATTTAAGTGAAAGAGCTCTTTGGTTTCTTTGACTTCCCTTGGTGCTTCTCCTGAGATTTCCCCCAGTTCCTCAAAAACATGAACTGAAACATAACCAATCTGTTTTGGTAGTTCTTATGCTAATGGGTGGATGTGTGGATTCTGAACATAAATTATCTCTAAAGAGCTTGGATATTTGTACAAGTAGCTAAGAAACCAATACATTGATGAATTCTAGCCAGCATTTTTAAGAGCTGAATTTGGAAAAAAAGTGTGAATCAATCCTGAGACTGCTCATAATTTAGACAGCAAGATTTAACTCCCTGTCAGCATCTTTTCTCCTCTTCTAGGCTAACTGCAAATGCTATTTTGGCATCGTGGATTGGAGTTGTGCTTCAGATTGCAAATGGAGTCTGGGTTTAAGTTCATATGCCTAGTGTGCTACAGGAAAGATCTATTACGTGTGAGAAATTGTACTCTAATGTCCTGGACTAAAACTCTCATCAGATTCATCTTCAGTAACATTAAACATATCCATATGCAATGCAGAATAAGGGATTAATATTTGCATTCCCTATACAAAAGATGCTGAATGGAAAATGTTGTTTCTGTTAGTCACCCACGAGGGCAATGTCTGTTTCCTGCACTCAATTCCTACTATGCTTGTGTGAAAATGAATCTTTCTGCACATTTTCTCAGCATGGTTCTTCACTTCTTCTTCCATATTTTACTTTTTAAAGTTTTAGCATCTGACCCTATGAAAAGGTTGTTTAAGACATATTGCAGCACTTGCTTTTGTTTCAGTACTTGTTCTTCTATTATTTCCTCAAGGGCCCATTATTTATTTTTTATTATAAGTATTTATATATATTATTATAATTAGTTTCCAGTGACTCTTTGTAAGGCCTTTTGGCATGTAGCTTCAGTTCTGATTTTTCTCCAAAGCTAGTGGGTTTGCCTGCCTTAAGAAATTTAACTTCTTTTATAGAATTCATTCATGGTTGTTCTTTAGTCATGTAGTTCTGAACTGAAAAATGTTGGCTTTGTTGTTACAGCAGTGGTTATTTTATATGGGAACTAAAGCCTAGGAATTATTCTTGGAATAGCACAAAGCATGTCTCTGAGTTTTACTCAAATCCTGCACACTAGTATGTACAAATCCAGTACTTCATACTCCCTTTCTTGTGCACCACACAACATCAGATAGTCACTTCATGTGGAAACTGGTGATTTTGGATGGTCAACTTACCTGAAAGAAAAGGAACTTCCTTTTCTTCAACAGCTCTAGTAATTGGAAAATCAAATCCACTTCTTTACTATGTCCAGGATTTTAGATCAGGAACCCTGCTTGGTCATAAGCTGTATCTTGCATTAGAATTGCAATCGGGAATCACATCACAGTCTCTTTATGCTCATATCTTGTCTGTGACTGGCCAGTAGCAGATATATAGGGGGAAAAGTAAGGGAAGTAACAGCAATTAAAAGGTGATAGTTTCTTCAAATGACATCCTTGCTTCTGCACTTTGCAGCGTGGTAGCTCCTGAATTAGAGATTGCATTAGTGTTGTGTTTAATTTTAAAAAGACATCCATGTTTTTGTGGGCAGGATTGAGATAGACATACAGGTAAATAGTAACACCCTAGTGTTTAACTGTAAATGCAAATAAATCTATTTAAGGGGTAAGAGTTTAAATTATAATCTTCTTATTACCCTCTTCTTGCTGTCCCAGATCTCTCTTTCTAAATGGTCTATTAAGACACATGCATTCAGACATCAATTTCTTAGTTCTTAAGCTTCTGCAGATCTTTTTTGAGATGGATGCTACCCCTTAAATGCTACCAAATAAAGAGCTGATAAAACCTTCTTCTCTTCATTAACCTTGCACATGGCCATTCTTGAGTTGATATTTCCTAATCAATGCCTAAACCAGAATGTTGTGACATGTTCCTTATCTCTGCATGAGCGGGCTGTTTTAACAAGTCCTGCTTTGCATTTACTATAACCTGATACACCAGGGCAGGACTGCCCCAATCTACATGAATTACATATGCCAGAAGATTCTGGTATTATATGACTACATAACTATTTGAGAAAACTATCACTCTCTCTTAGTGTGTGTTAATAAAATGTCACCATAGAAAAATGGGAGTTAGTCAGATTTATGTCTTCTAGTTTCATTTCTCAAGGGCAATTTGCAACTTGTGTTGGTGGATAATCATAACAGGGGAGTGATTGCTGCATGAAAATGTTTATGGCTGCATTCCATATCGTGGGCTGTTTACCATACCAAATAGATCATACCAGGTTTAAAAACAGTCATCATAAAAGTTTAAGGGAACCACTGGATTTTTTTACATACAGTTGCTACAACAAAAATCCTAATAAAATAGTGAAGTGAAACAATTCTAGTTTCTAGTTCATTGCCCCTTCTGATGCTGCAAAAAACTTGAGGCTGCCTGATGAAGGGAGCCATGAAAATGTGTGTCATTTGAATACAGGATCAATGAATTACGTGTAATGGAATTAAAGATTACATGAAGTAAATTAGTACTGATCACATGCAATGGGAACATCATAAACACCCTTTCTTATGAAGTTAGAAGAATAGTTACAGTGCTCTAGCTCTGTACACATTCAAACTCAAGAAGTGCTTCTTTGCAGTTTGTGTTTGATAGACCATACAACAGAACGTTGGAGGCTGAAGCTGATAAAGTGGGACTTCAGTTTGCAGCAAAGGTAACTATGACTGGTTTATTTTAGTAGCAATTTACCTACCACTTTTCAGTTTCTATTATAATCAGGGGGAGTTTCATACTTCATACAGAGGTAAACTGTGTGGGAGGATTCCCAATTTTTACAGATCTGTGGATTAATGAAGTGGTGGGGAAA